CTTTCATATATATATATATATATATATATATATATATATATATATATATATATATATATATATATATATATATATATATATATATATATATATATATATATATATATATTTAGCGTTATCGTTATCTTCCCAGCCATAATAATTTTACTCACCTATTTTCCTTTCTGCCTCACTCGCCTCCTTCCGTCACTTGCCCCCTTCCGTCACTTGCCCCCTTCTTCCTCTCTATCGCTTCTTCCTCCTCTCCCTATATCACCTCATCTCCTTCACTCCCTTCATCCCTCACTCACCTCTTTCTCTCACTCAGCCAAATGCCATCTTTCCTGCCCCACTCATTCCCTTCCATCTCTTCCTCATTTGCGTTTTTCTCCACTCTCCCTCAATTCTCCTCCTTCCTCTCGTCCTTACTTGTCTCCATCTCCCTTTCACTCCCCTCCTTTCCCCCCTCTCTCCTTCCCTCCCTCATTCTTCTCCTTCTTTCTCTTCTTCACTCGCCTCCATCTCTTTCGTCACCCAACATTCATCTCCCTTATTAGTTTCCATCCCTTGCCTTTTTCTGTTCTTCCTCCCAATTTCATTTAAAAATTTCTTTCACTCCCTCATTTGAAGCTTCCCTTTATCGCGCTCCCTCCGTCCGTCTCTCCTTCTTTTCCTCACTCGCCTCCTTCCCCACTCTCCTTTTTATCTCTTTCCCTTCCTTCTCCTCTCGTCCCAATTTTCTTCCCCTGTTTCTCTCTCTCTTTTATCACCTTTATATTTCATTTTTCTTTCCTCTGCCTCCCTGTCTCACTTCTATCTTTTTATATCCGTCCGTTCTTCCTACACCCCCCCCATCTCTCTCTCTCTCTCTCTCTCTCTCTCATTCAATCCTGATCCCTTCCCTTATCAGTCCCATCCATTCTTCCCTCAGTATCTTAGTGGCTTATTCTCTATGTTACAACCTTCTTTCCTCTTCTAAACCCTGACTTTTTCCTTTTTCACTTTCAAGCAATATACTGTCTTCCTTCCTCTCTGTTTCCCTCTCTTCCCCTCTCATTTTTCTCTGATGAATGGTCTGGTCTGTAAATGGATCAAAACTCACAATGATGAAAGTATTCACTATCAACAATTTACAGTAAAGACAGCAAACAGACACATAGAGAGTATTAAATCAAGTGAATGTTATGCTTATTGTTCTGTGCAGACAAACACAGGTAGAACAGGCTGTGCAATTGTAATATATAAAGAAAAAGAGATGATAGTGTCAAACAAGCAAAGGCTGAATAACTGGTCCAGCACAACACAAACTGAACTAACTGGAATCTACTTAGCCACAGACTACCTTAAAGAAAATGGAGGTGGAATGATATTCTGTGACTCTCAAAGTGCTTTGAAATCAATGAACAGCCCGTCAGGTTCTATGTCTAAAGTTGTATGTGATATTAAAAGAAATGTGATAACTGCCAATGTGAACAACTCTCGTATCGAATTTGTGTGGATTCCGTCCCATGTTGGAATTAGGTATCATGACGGTGCTGATAGACTGGCCAATGAGGCATGTAAGAAAGAAAATGTTGACCGTGACCTTGGCCTGTCTAATGCTGTACTTAAAAACATTCAAGTCAGAATCATGAACTCTGATCTAGAAGAACTGAGAAGTGCAGAGAGACCTGGCAGTTGTAGCATTAGTAAATATGGCAAATTTTGTGACGAGAGGTACCGGTATGGCCAGCATAAGGACAGAACCAGACAATGTGATGTAGTCGTGGCCAAAATTAGGCTAGGATACAGACATATCTAGCATTTTACCCAATCCAGCTGGTATGAAACACGAGGTACCATATATACTTCATTATATGTTCAAAGTCCGCGTGTTATATGGACTAAAAATGAAGTATATATGGTACCTCGTGTTTCATACCAGCTGGATTGGGTAAAATGCGACTGACATCCACATAAATGGCACGGGCAGTTCCCAATGGGAGGTTCACGGCGCCATCAGCTCAATGAACAGGCTTTGTGTGAAATATAACATAGTCTAGAACTGCTTTTAGTGTCTTTGTGGCATGGTCGGTAGCGCTCCCTGGTCCCACACAGTAGGTCGAGGGTTCGAGTCCTGGCTGGTGAGGTCGTTGATTAAAAAAAAAAAAAAAAAAAAAATATATATATATATATATATATATATATATAATATAATATATATATTAATATATATGCTGATAACCACTAAGAAACAAGAAAACGCGAAATTCTCAAGCGCTTTCGTGTAATTCACATCTTGGATTAGCCGCTCCTACAGTGATTTACTTGCATATATATATATATATATATATATATATATATATATATATTATATATATATTATTATATATAATATATATACTGTTAATGAATATGATGTATTTCTTTGTGTATGAACCTCTGTCCTGCGTGGCAGTGAGAAGTGATACCACCTCAGTGTCAAGACCTGACTGAATTACTCAGAATAGGCAAACTGTACTCCAAGCTTTGTCAATAAATTTGTTACACTAAAAAAAAAAAGATAAACTATATCATTCCTCACCTGCCACACTCTTGTTTCTTATTTTTTTTTATCTCTCTCTCCATTGTTAATTCATTCTCTCTCCTTTTCCAATTTCTTTTATACTTCCTCATCCCTCTCCTCTATCCTCTTCCTCACGAGATTATCAGATAAAAAAATGTATGTTGATGCGAGGAATAAGGCGAGGCATTGTGTGAGACTGCCGAGATGCTGTCCAACATTTCCCAGATGCTCTATTTAACACTGTAATGTACTCCAACACGATTCGCCAATATTGTGTACGTGTCCTGTCCGTCACACATCATGTACACGTTCCTCACCCTACCATGTTCATGTATTCCTGTTCTAATAATTAGTTTTTGTGTGAGTACAAGTCAACAGAGGTCCACATAATCGCACCTCCAGCTTAATGTAATAAGAATATAAATTTAGTGTGAGTGTGTGTGTGTAATTTTTTTTTTAGCCTATCAAGCCATTAAACCATCTTTCATCCCCCAGAACTACCTTGGATTTGTGTATTAGGACTCAAAGAGAATGTAAGCTTATACTCTGCTGCCAAACTAATTAATTTCCAATAACACGGTCGGCATCTGTGAGAGATTAATTGGCATCAGAGTAATTTTGCTTTTATCATACGAAGCTATACAGATGAGAGTCGTAGTTTCTGTAATCCAGTACTTTACTTTTTAAATAATTTTGTTGAGTATCCTTTTATACGCTCGCCATTTCGATATGTTGGCCGCCATAATACTGAATATGAGTTTAGTGATAGCAGTATGCCACGCAGATGGTTCAGCCCACGCGTTGTCGGAGTGGCCCGATGTATTGTATTTTGAAGAACTAATGAGTGTTTTACATTCTGTTCCATTTATCATCATGTGCAGGAACCAGGATCACATGTGTGGGACCACTATTAAATACGGCAGCGACCATTTTTCTCTCTTCCTCTCATTCTTACTGGGATATTTGGAGTAATAAATAGAACATAACTTCCTATCAGGGTCAGAGCGACACTGATGATGCACTTGGTAAATATAACACTGTGGTGGAATTATCATGGTGAAGGATTGGAGGGAGAGAGTGGTGCACGTCACCTCCACGTGATATAGTCTTGAGACACCTCCACATGACAGTCTATGACACCTCCTTATGAGTCTATGACACCTCCATATGACACAGTTGCACCTTGAACTTATTTCGGCTGTTTTGTCTCACTCCCAATGTTACCAATACATTACTTGCTGCAGCTGTTAGTGTTACCCCTACTACTGCCAATATCTTTTCTTCCACTGTGGCAACTACTACTACTGTCATTGCTTCTACTGTTATTACACACACTACTATTACGACTACTAATAATAGTACACTTCTGCTATTTTTTACTTCTATCAATAAGAATGCACTTATCATCATTGTATACATTATATAAGTTAATGGCAGTTCCATAACTTATACCGTCAAAGTTTCTTCCTCCTTCTCTCGGCTTTACGTCTTTTAATATCACAACAATATTTTGGAATTTGTATTGTTATTTATGTTACTCCTTTACACACAAAAGAAGGAACATGCATAGATTCATTTGACTTTTTCACCTTCAACATGATCTGACTGGGATGATTTGTGAAACTTTTCTCCCATTTCACCTGGTACTAAGTTACGGACTCCTCAAACTTTGGTGGTAATAATAACAAATCGGTCGCCAATTCTATCCTTATAAAAAACATGAGTCCTCCCCCTGAATCAGCCATTATTTCACAAAGGACAAATGAACTTTAAACAAGCCTGGAGAGATCACCATAACCTGGAAAGTTATAATAAATTTATTACTGCCGGTAACCTTGTTAGAGCAGAGTAAACAAAAACAAATTGTTCCTAGTTTAACGAGCCGTTCTACAACTATCAACTAAGACCTTCCTCCACATCCGTTCTAGTTTGTCAGTTACCACCACAGCCCAAAATAACATCAGTCTTTTAAACTTTATATTTTCTCACCATCAAAACCCTAAGCCTTCAAACAATGTCCCTTCCATTTCCAATGTATACTGTTTTATTCTTTACAGCAGCTATGTCACCCTCACATGAAATATCACTCTCACATGTGTAGTGTTTCAATATTTTCACTATAAGACTAATTTCACTTTAAAACTATTCGTGTCTTCGCTACCAGTCTGTCACTGTCTCCATACTTCCCTTCACGCCACGATCTATCTCTCCCTTTCCTCCTTTTTGCCCATGGTTAGTGCAATAATAAAATCTAATTCATCATCCCCCTTCTTTTCAACCTCAGTTCCAACACACGTGCTTCCCTATCATACCATTTCCTCCGTTCATTTTTTCCCCTTTAGTTGAATGTCATCATCATTCACCATTCAGTTGCACACTTTTTATGTCGTTTAATACCTTGTCCTCTTCCTTGTTGCCATAGTATAACCTATTAACCTACAGTCCTACAGCCTTTGAAGTGTGAAATTATACTCACCTTCTCTCGTGTATGAAAAACCTATATCGTTATCTATTTTATCCATGGTGTAGCCTGAACTTAGGAACACTCTGTACATTATATTACCCTTCAGGAGATAATTAATTTATCACAAATGCCTTCCCCAGCCAATTTTAAAAAAGAAAAAAAAAAAAAATGTTTATCCTCTTTTGTCTGTCTGTCTCTCTCTCTTTCTCCTCTCTGTTTTCTCCTTTCTATGACTTTTGTCTTGGCTGAATTTCACTTTTCCTCACTACTTCTCCTTGATACATTTCTTCCCCTGGCTGATCCTTATATTTATTTCCATTCTGTTTTCCATCTTCCTTGACACTTTTCTTTTTCGCCTCTGATATATAGACGTCACTGCCTCATGACCTTCCTCCTGTGTTAGCCAGATCTCCTTGTGATTCTCTTGCAACCATCCTCATGCATCACCCCCGAATTTATTTATACGTATTTTAGTTCTTTGATTCAATTTCTTTCTCCATTGATAAATTGCAATCTTCCCGGCTCCCTGTCTCTTTCAATCATCCACATATATCTCTATTCACTCGACTTATCATAATGTTAAATATACATTGCTTTAATCTTTCTTGTCTTCTATCTAGTTCAATATACAGAACTCCATTTCACACTTGGCAACTATCTCTAAGAATGTTTCCTCTTTCATCTTGAATATTTCACTTAAAAATTGCTTTTTGTTTTACTATATATTTATCTTTAAAATATTTTCTTTTACTTCTCCTTTGATATATTTATTTACACGTCATTTTCCGACAAGATGTTGATTTCATTCAGGCCCAAATTCATTTCCTCTGATGTACCGTCATTCTGCCTGATTCTTCTTCTTCTATATATATTTAAATTTACTCGACTCCTTTTCTCCTCTTCGATTTATTTCACACTCCCTGACTGTTCTGCTTCTTTCTCCTCCTCCTCCTCCTCCTCTCCTAGGATAAATTGTGCTCTCTTACACTCTCCCTCCTCCTCCCCTCCTAGGATAAGTATTGCTCTCTCCTCCTCTCCTAGGATAAACCTTGTGCTCTCCCTACCTCCTCCTCTCCTAGATAAACCTTGCTCTCTCCCTACACCCCTCCTCCTCTTCCTCTCCCTAGGATAAACTGTGCTCTACACTCCTCCTCCTCTCCTCTCTAAGTTGCTCTCCCACACTCCTCCTCCTCCTCCTCTCTAGGATAAATTGTGCTCTCTACACTCCTCCTCCTTCTCCTCTCCTAGGATAAGTGTGTCTCTACCTCCTCCTCCTCCTCCCTCTACTAAGATATTGTGCTCTCCCCACCTCCTCCTCCTCCTCTCTACTAGAGATAAATAATGCTCTCCTCCTCCTCCCTCCTCCCCTCCTCTCCTAAGGATAAGTATTGCTCTCCCCACCTCCTCCTCCCTCTCTCCCAGGATAAGTATGCTCTCCCTACACTCCTCCTCCTCCCCCTCTCCCAGGATTATTGCTCTCCCACACTCCTCCTCCTCCTCTACTAGATAAAGTATGCTCCTACTCCTCCTCCTCCTCCTCTCCTAGGATAAATTGTGCTCTCCCCTACACTCCTCCCTCCTCTCTCTCCCCTACAGTGCCCCTCCCTACACCTCCTCCTCCTCTACTAGGACTCATTGTGCTCTCCCCACTCCTCCTCCTCCTCCTCTACTAGGATAAATTATGCTCTCCCTCACTCCTCCTCCTCCTCCTCTCTCCTAGGATAAATTGGCCTCTCCTACCTCCTCCTCCTCCTCCTCTCCCTAGGATAATTATGCTCTCCTACACTCCTCCTCCTCCTCCTCTACTAGGATAAACCTTGCTCTCTCCCTCCTCCCTCCTCCTCCTCTCCTAGGATAATTATGCTCTCCTACCTCCTCCTCCTCCCCTCCTCTCCTAGGATAATATTGCTCTCCCCTCCTCCCTCCTCCCTCTCTCCTAGGATAAATTGTGCTCTCCTACCTCCTCCTCCTCCCTCCTCTCCTAGGATAAATTGTGCTCTCCCTACCTCCTCCTCCTCCTCCTCTACTAGGATAAATTGTGCCTCCCACACTCCTCCTCCTCCTCCTCTACTAGGATAAATTATGCCTCCCACACCCTCCTCCTCCTCCTCTACTAGGATAAATTGTGCTCTCCTACACCTCCTCCCTCCTCCTCCCCACTAGATAAATTGTGCTCTCCCACACTCCTCCTCCTCCTCCTCCTCTACCAGGATAAATTATGCCTCCCTACACTCCTCCTCCTCCTCCTCTACCAGGATATTGTGCCTCCCACACCTCCTCCTCCTCCTCCTCCTCCTCCTCCTCTACCAGGATAAATTGTGCTCTCCCACACTCCTCCTCCTCCTCCTCCTCCTCCTCCTCCTCTACTAGGATAAATTATGCCTCCACACTCCTCCTCCTCCTCCTCTACTAGGATACAAATTGTGCTCTCCTACACCTCCTCCTCCTCCTCTACCAGGATAAATTGTGCTCTCCTACACCTCCCTCCTCCTCCTCTCAGGATAAATTATGCCTCCCACACTCCTCCTCCTCCTCCTCCTCTCTAGGATAAAATTGTGCCTCCCACACCCTCCTCCTCCTCCCTCTACCAGGATAAATTGTGCCTCCCACACCCCTCCTCCCTCCTCCTCCCAGGATAAATTGTGCTCTCCTACACTCCTCCTCCCTCCTCCTCCTCTCCTAGGATAAATTGTGCCTCCCCACACTCCTCCCTCCCTCCTCCCTCTCAGGATAAATTGTGCCTCCCTACACCTCCTCCTCCTCCTCCCTCTACTAGGATAAACTATGCTCTCCCCACACCCTCCTCCTCCTCCTCACTCAGGATAAATTGTGCCTCCCACACTCCTCCTCCTCCTCCTCCTCTCCCAGGATAAATTGTGCTCTCCTCACACTCCTCCTCCTCCCTCTCCTCTAGGATAAATTGTGCTCTCCCACACCTCCTCCTCCTCCTCCCTCCCCAGGATAAATTGTGCCTCCCCACTCCCCTCCTCCTCCTCCCTCTCCTAGGATAAATTGTGCCTCCCACACTCCTCCTCCTCCTCCCACCAGGATAAATTCAGGCTCTCCCACACCCCTCCTCCTCCTCCCTCTACCAGGATAAATTATGCCTCCCACACCCTCCTCCTCCTCCTCTACTAGATAAACCAGCTCTCCCACACCTCCTCCTCCTCCCTCCTCTACTAGGATAAATTGCGCCTCCTACACTCCTCCTCCCTCCTCCTCCCTCCTAGGATAAATTATGCCTACACTCCTCCTCCTCCTCTACTAGGATAAATTGTGCTCTCCACACTCCTCCCCCTCCTCCCTCTCCTAGGATAAATTGTGCTCTCCTCACACCCTCCTCCCTCCTCCTCCCTACCAGATAAATTATGCTCTCCTACACCTCCTCCTCCTCCTCACTAGGATAAATTATGCCTCTCACACTCCTCCTCCCTCCCTCCCCCTCTCCTAGGATAAATTGTGCTCTCTTACACTCCTCCTCCCTCCTCCCTCTCCAGATAAATTGTGCTCTCCCACACTCCTCCTCCTCCTCCTCTCCTAGGATAATTGTGCTCTCCCACACTCCTCCTCCTCCTCCTCTCCTAGGATAAATTGTGCTCTCCTACACTCCTCCTCCCTCCTCCTCTCCTAGGATAAATTGCTCTCCTTACACTCCCTCCTCCTCCTCTCCTAGATAAATTTTGCTCTCCAACTCTCCTTCCCTCACGATATATTTCACTACGCCAGACCCATTGTGTACCCCTTCCTCCTGCCGTCACCCTCCCTAGTATTTTCGCAACAATGAATACATTACCACACACACACACACACACACACACACACACACACACACACACACACACACATACACACACACACACACACACACACACACACACACACATACACACACACACACACACACACACACACACATACACACATTCACACACACACACACACACACACACACACACACACACACATACACATACGCACACACATACACATACACACACACACACATACACACACACACACATACATACACATTCACATACACTGGGACCAAACCTCTCACTCATAACACCATCTGAGGGAATTACTACACCACATGTCCCTCATAACACCATATGTGAGGGAATACTACACCACGTCAAGTCCTCATCACACCATCTGTGAGGGACTATTACACCACGTGAGGACCTCATAACACCATCTGTGAAGGAATTACTACACCACGTGAGGCCCCCTCATAACACCATCTGTGAGGGAATTACTACACCACGTCAGGTCCCTCATAACACCATCTGTGAGGGAATTACCACACCACGTCAGGTCCCTGATAACACCATCTGTGAAGGAATTACTACACCACGTGAGGACCCTCATAACACCATTTGTGAGGTAATTACACCACGTGAGGTCCCCCATAACACCATCTGTGAGGGAATTACTACACCACGTGGTCCCTCATAACACCATCTGCGAGGGAATTACTACACCACGTCAGGTCCCTCATAATATCATCTGAGGGAACTACTACATCACGTGAGGTCCCTCCTAACACCATCTGGGAGGGAGTTACTACACTACGTATTTGCTGTTCAACACGTACAATCCTACATTAATCTGTATGTTCACTCTATGTTCCTTTACCTTTCTCTAATGAAGGCTTTTGTTAAACCACCAATGTATGTAATAAGTCATTTATGTCCAATGTATATTTTCAGCCTTCGGGCTGCAGAACTTTTTCAATAAACCGTTAATTTTACATATTATTATTACACACACACACACATACACACACACACACACACACACACACACACACACACACACACACATACACACACACACACACACACACACACACACACACACACACACACACACACACACACGCACATACACACACACACACACACACACACACACATACACACACACGCACACATACATACACACACACACACACACACACATACATACACATACACACTGACCCTTTCGACTTTCACTGACCATCACCACGACCACATCTGCAAATTTGCTAAGAAGCTTCTACACCATCCTCGACACCGGCTCCTACTACCACCTGAGATCCCTAGC